GCCCATTAACTGGAAACTGGATAAAAAGATGTGGTTCTTTTATAAAATGGAGTACTACTCAGCCATAAAAAATGAGAAACTAGAGACATTTATAGCTAAATTGATGCATATTGAGGCCATACTCTTAAGTGAAATAAATAGGCCACATGTGTGTAAATATTGAATAGTTTCTATAGTGTGAGAAACTGAAGGTGTAATTGAAATAAATAATTGATTAAAAAAAACATGACCTTTGAACAACTGTAGGCAAAGACCTGAGCTGCAATTATCATTACAATAACTGAGTTCCTTTTCAGTTGAATTACCTCTGAAAAGCATGGAATACAAAAATGTAAAGCAAGCACCTACCCACATACAGACACACACACTCATTCACAAACACACATACACCAGGGTCTGTGCCAAAACCCAAGTTGATGAGAGAATGCCACTGGCTAGCGTTGGTCCCTGCTTCAGTGACTATGGAAACTAAAACTGAAGGGGCAACATGAATTTACAGGCAAAGCCTTTGATTGGAACATAAGAGAAAATGAGGAAAGGACTTTAGCTTGAGGAGAAGTTGAAGGAGGAAAGCTCTGAGGAAAAAGATCAGGCTGGCCTATTAACAAAGAGAAGGGGCCAGATTTATGGGATTGCTGGAGTGGGCTAGGGTTTGATTGATCATTATCTCAGTTCTGGTTTTGCATCTCTAGGAAAAGCCCTTATGGCTTAAGGGCAATACAGTTTTTAGGAGAATGATTGCCCCTTCTTGGGCACAGGGGGAAGTCTGTTGTTGTTTTTTAAAGGTAAGCCACTATTTTTAATACAAACAGGACAAAAAAGGCTTGAAAAGTCTCCCTGAATGTCACAATTTATTTGCCCTGGTGTACATTCTTGGTGAGCTGAACATTATTTTCACAGAAGGAAGCTCAGTTTTCTCTTTTTATTGTAAGTCAGTGATGGCAAGCCTTTCAGAGCTTTCAATAACAAATAGCCAGCTGCAGCATGGGTGCCATAGGTTCACCACCTCATTCTTAGTCACCTTTGAAAGGGGTACTTTGCCTATCAAGTTCCTCAATGCTTAGACTGATATAACAAGGTATAAAAAAGTCATTTATAATTCAGAGGGATACCAGGTTTATTTGGAATAAAAATACTCTAGAAAAAGAAGGCTATTTTTTTAGTGATTTTTCCAAAACCCCTCCTTTTGTGAATAGAGGAGGAAATCTAAGGGAAGGGATTAAGTCTCACAGATCTTCCCTGATAATTCTGCTAATCTAATCATATTTGACAAACAAACTGATTAGTTTAATTATCCAAGAAATCTGGGTTTTATATATCTGCTGCCTATAGATCAGTATCATTTTAATATATGATACCCTGGGAACAGTTAAGAATTGTATATTGCATTTATGATTTAACAACCTATATTTAAAGATTAAGACTTGTGCTTATGTAATTATGATGTTAAGGGAAATTAGAAACCAAAGAGATTGATATTTATAAAAGCGTATCTCAGGAAAGGATTTAAAGAAAGAAGCCCTTTCCAACTGAGGAACATAAACTGAGGAACATACAATGACTTTAAAGAGAAATAAGTTTCTTCCTAACTTCACTCCAGATTATGTCAAGAGCAAGATATTCCGCAATCGTGAGACTTTTAGCTCCCCAAATTTCAGCTGGACTGCTTTCCAGAATGATTATATGAAATCATGTAGCTGACGAAAAGCTGAATATTTACATTCTTCTGGATTTTTCTGTGTTAACGCAGCAGTCCAGCGTTCACCACACTGAGCGGAAAGGAATCATTTCACTTCCTTCATCCCTGTATTGCATAAATGGGGTTAACGTAGAATTTCCTTTGATGGTTAATACTGTTGACTTCGTGTCAGGATTAATTCTAAGGACACAGCTGTCTGTATGTCAGCTAGAAAGTGTACTTTTCAGTTGCCACGGCATCTTCAAAGAGTTTTCAGTTTGTCTTTGTCTTGTTCTTTCTGACTGCAAAGTGCAAAGGATTCTCGCACAAACTGCCTGCACGTCGGGCACTGCTGGAAATACGGGACGCAGCCGTGGCACAGGCACGTGTGCCGGCAGGGCAGGAGCACCCAGTTCACACTCCCGTTCTGGCACACGACGCAATCCTTGCTGCTGTCCTCTGAAAGCTCTGCCTCGCCTTCACACAGTCCAGCCCTCTCCAGGAAACTGCGGTCCGCGTTCTTCTCTTCTGGTGAGGGACCGCTGGAGGGAGTGGAATTATTATTTGCAGACATGAAAAGTTGCTTAAGATCATGAAATTGATCTTGAGCCAGGAGTAAATATTGATACAATATTCTGCAGGGAAATTTATAAGTCTTATCAGGAATATGAATTACTGATACCATGGAAATAATATCATAAATTGCTCGGTCATCCTCATCTGCTAAGGTCAACAGTGCCACCAACAGATAACGAGATCTGGGCACCGTCCCAAAGTCTTCAATTTTAGTGTCTCTTGGTAACTGGCAATATATTTCTTCTTTGCTGTCCTTTTTAATAAAGTACTGCTCTTGGTGGAGATACTCGCTATACAGGGCATCTTCTAGCGCCTGCGGAGTGCTGATCCGGAAGCAGTACGCGTGCTTCTGCAGCGCTTCGTATAATTTCTGGACACTGCAGCCCCAATAGCACGTAAGGTGGCTGTCTTCAAGACAGTCTGTTGTCAGTGTTATGCCGGCTGCGACATTCCATTCTCCTCTTGGGTAAGTGTCTCTCTCTGTTTACGAGGTGATAAATTCCTTAGAAGAAAGCTGTTAAATTCTTAATCTTTGTATCTGCAGTATTCAGTCTAGAACTTGTAATTGTAGCTGTGGATGGATTCGTGATCTCTAGGCCAAAAGGATTCTTCGCTTGTCTCATTTGCTTTTTGAAAACTCTTGTGCTGAACTGGGTCTCTTCGGAATTTCTCAGAATTACCGGAACATCCCAACCAAACCTTTTTGGGTGACTCTGTGACTACGAGCTCAGCTGCAGAAAGCACTGCCTCCACCCCAGCAGGCAAGGGGAGAACAGGAAGTCTGTTTTGAGGCTCTATCAGAACCTGAGGTGACAGGAGGTTTAATGTAATGACTGGAGACTTTTTGCACCCATTTCAGAGTGTAAAACATTGTACTTGAATGTCTCTGTCTTTTCTTGGTATCTTGATTTTAGGGTTGATATACAGTAACTTGTATTACCACACCCCCTAAATGACTAATCTGCATACATGCACAGCTGAGCAGGAACCTGGCCCAAAGTTGTAAGATAATAAAGGTGGCAGATACAAAATGAAGGCAGAGCTTTATCCTGCATTGAGCATCTGTAGACCCAAGTGAAGAGTCATGTTTTGTTTTATTTTGTTTTGTGTTGTTTTAGCAAAAACAGTTTTGAGGTCTCTAACTGCTTCAGAAGAAAATACAAATCGTGTTTTTAATAGGTAACAAGGTAAGGCCTTCTGTCCCTTTGTGGTGATCCCAACAGTCTTATTTCTCATCTACTTTGTTCTTGGAGAGCCTGTGGTGAAAGAATCCTGGTTTTGACCTGACTTTTAAGGTCCATAAGATTGGTCAGGAGAGTGAATGGGGAGAATACTACATTTTTAAAAGGTAATAGGTACTGAGTTAAGGCACAGGAGTATAACCTGCCCTTTATCCCCAAGGTGGCCTCTGTCCAAAAAAAAAAAGCTATCTTCCAGACCACATCGGGATAATGAAAAAGGCACTGGAATTAAATATTGCAGACTTCAATATTGATTATTTATGATGGAACATACATAATTTGCTGAAGTTCACTGGAGACTAGCATGTATTTAATGCATATGTGGGCTCAAATACTCTCATCTGATTTTTTAACTTGTATTTCTTACTGTGATATCTTAAAGACTTCCTCTGAGGTTATAACAGCTGCCTGGACCAGGTAGACCATATTGCCCAGTGCACCTGAGGTTCCTGCATTCTTTGTGGTCCCTGGGTGTGTAGCATCCTGCATGATGCTTTGCTTTTTCTGACAAATTGGTGCCTGTATATGATACATATTGAACAATTATAAAGTACTGAAAAGCAGGAAAGAAGGGCTTCCTATCTCTGCCCCCAGGACCATCAGTTACCTTCCAATTTACCTAAGGATTGGTAAATAATAGACCAAACCAAAGGGTAACTAACAGAGGTATCACAGAGGGACCCCTCAGAGAACAGTCAGAATCGTCTTCTAAATAAAGTCCCCACGTGGTCATTCAGGGACACACAGAGAAGGCAAGTGTGGAGGGCACCATCCTATGGGGGCAACAAACTAGGAAAACTGAGCATTTGTGAACAGCATTTAGCTTCTTAATCAGATAAAATGAGCAACAAAGATTCTCTGACACATGTTTGATGATATACATAATTGTCACTGAGCTGCATGCTAATTAGGTATCAATCCTAAGCAGTTCATTTAAATGACTATGATTGGAATGACATTCTCACAGTCCATCCCAGCTTTTCAGAGCAAGGAGCAAAGGAGGTAAAGCCACCTAGGCAGAAATGGGATCCAGAGTTCTAAAAGCTGCTGTTCACAAAGTGTCTTTCCCACACCACTCACAGGATCTCTGCTGAAATTGTTGAGTGTCATTGTTTCACTCTTATCCCACATTTTTTCTGTTATGGAGGGTTAGTCCCAAGCTTTGCTTCTCAGCCAGGTAATGATGGGCAGGAATGGATCTCCTGAAACAGCATGGAAAGGGTGCAAAGACTGTAGCCTGTCCCTACACGCCTGGGAAGTCTGGAAACACACACTGCGAAAACCAACATTCTCCTCACCACCCACTGCATTCAGAAACTTCCCTAGGGCTGCACAGATGGCCCTTTTTTAGTACATAAAGATTTCTCCTGGACCATTGAATGCAAACGAAGGAGCAAGGGCCAGCACTAGCCAGGACATGGCAAGATTCACAGGGTGACTTGGGACAGAGCTCAGTGGGACCTTCCTCTCATGCTCCCAGCAACAGCTGCCATTTACCCAGATCTTTGAATTTTTCTGACTCTGAGGTTAGGCAAATACTAGATTTCATTTCCTTCTCATAACAAATAGGATACTGAGACTTTAATGAAATCCCTCTGTCTAGCAAAAGAGAACTCTCAGGACCAAAGACAGTCTCTTGGCTGGCAGATAAATGAATTTAATACTACATTTTAAAGGCAAACTTGATTTGTTGAATATACATGAGGTATTATCAAAAATATTGTGACTGTCTAAATGTCTTTTAAAAATTTGTTATAGTAAAGGACGTATTGTTATTAATTGCAAAAAAAAATCCCCCTCATTTCAAACACATGTATCATTCTTGATGCTTTGTGAAGCAGTTCTAGAAGTCCTCTTTCATGAGTGCCTTTAGTTGCGCTAACTGCTGGCTTCAATGTCTTGAATTATTTCAAAACACTGAACTTTCATGGTCATTTTGACTCTGGAGAAGAGCCAAAAGTCACACAGTGCCAGATGCAGTGGATGAGAATATACCACCGTGACAGAAATTGCCATAAACATTTTGCATTGATTCTGGACATCGAGACAGCCCCCAAAGTGCAACTAAAGACAGTATTTTATCTCCTCTTCACCACCATCTCCACAACAGTCCTAGAAAAGCCTTGGGCAGGTGAAATCAGATAAACCTCATATGTATTTGTGCATATATATTCATATGTTTGTGTGTGTGCTTGTGTAGATGTGTGTATGTGTTTGTGTAAGACTACACATGCATGCAGGTATACAAAGTGTTCTTACAGGGCAAAATAGATTTCCAAAAGAGAGAGAGATCATTACAAACATGCTTTGAAGGTATATTAAAAACTGGTTATTATAAGTCTGAGTCAGGAAGACAGCAAGTTCAAACCCAGTCTGTCCACTTAGCAAGATCCTGTCTCAAAAATATTTGAGAAGAACAGGGGATGTATCTCCCCAGCAAAGGTCCCAGGACTGAAAAGAAGTGGGGATACAGCCCAGTGGTAGTGACCTTGCCTAGCATTCACAGGGCCCTGTTTCAGTTCCCAGCACTGCCCCCCAAAAAACTGATTCTCTTAAACTGGAAATGAAAAGAATGAAATAAAAAATCTTAAGGTCAGGATGTCACCTTTTCCTAGAAGTATGTGGCAGAGCAAGAGATGTTGGCAGGAAAACCTCAAACAGATGCCACGCTTGTGAGGCAAAAACTTTGTGTTTTGAGTTTAGCCTCTGTGGACAAAAACCCTCAAGACACTTTAATCACAGGTAGCTCTGCACTGGAGGTGAAGAATCTTGAAGTACTACAAATTCAGGTCAAAACCAGATCTGGATCCTGATCTGACTCATAAAATAATGTCTTAGAGATAGGGCTTAAAAACCCATATATTTTAACTATAAAGCAAAAATTTAAATAATAATACTTTCAATAATTTCTACTCTATCCTCACTTTTTAAACATACTTACAGGTTGGTAAGACAGTACTGAATATCAATTAGAGCTACTATAAAAGTTAATACCTAAGGGCCAGGAATTTAGCTCAGTGGTTCCACCACCTGCCTCTCAAGCACAAGGTCCCAAGTTCAATCCTCAGTACCAAAAAAAAGAATAAAAAGTTAATACCTCACACATGAGTTCTGTTAGTACGAAGAAAAGAACTTCTTTGAAGCATAGATTATCCAGATATATTTCTCTCAAGAAAATTTGTTCAGGACTTTTAAGAAAGAACATTGATCAACACATTGATTTTTTAAAACACCCCACCACCCTATGTGTGCACGTGCACACACACACAAAGAGAGATTAAGATTTTTATATTATATTAACCTCTATATATTTGCCAAAAATGAACAAAACTACTAGAAGGCAAAGCATGATGTTCTCTAAATTTTCAAATCTGAGCTTTATGAAAGGGATTATAAAATATACCACATTACAAAAGAATGAAATTTCAGAAATGACAGAATGCAGTAATTCTCTGGAATTGAAGACTGAAGAAAAGCACAAATCTGAAATAAATGTAATGTCCTAAAATGGGAAGATTTTTATGCCAGTGACAGAAACAGGGACAGTCCAATGAGTCTTTGGGAAAATGACAATGAATCATGGCAGAATCACAGTACAAAATGTTCAGTCCAGTGTTGAAGATTCAGAAATAAAACTCAGTGAAAAGTCAGAGCCCAAAACTGGTTTTAAAACCACCTACTTGGAGCTGCTGGGTGATGTTAGTTCTCAGACAGCCTGTTAAGGTTTAGATCATAGATAGAAGCCATGGTCCCCAATGCAAAAGTGTACAGAGGTAATTAGATCATGAAGTGGATGAATCCACTGATGAGACCATAATTTGATAGCATTATGGGGGGAATGGAAACAGAAAGTGGAACCTAGTTGAAGGGAGTGGGTCATGGACTTATGATCTTGGGGGCTATTTGTGCTCCACAGCCTCTTCTTCTCTGGCTCTTTCCAGCTCTGCTTCTTGGCTGACATGAGATGAGCAGTCTTCCTCTGCCATGCTCTCTGCCATCTTGTTTCTGCCTCACCACAGGCCTAGGGCAATGGAACCAACTGACCATAGACTAAAACTTCTGAAAGCATGAATCAAAATAAATCTTTCCTCCTGTAAATTATTTTCTTCAGTTATTCTGTCACAGTGACATAAAGTTGACTAATGCACAATCTAAAGGCACTTTTGAAAGGGCCAGAGATTACACACTCTCAATTGTAAGTTGAAAAGAGAAACAAGCAAAGGAGAAAGCTAAAGATGGCTAAAGGGGAAGTAGCAATAACAAAAAGTGTCAACACAGCCAAGGAAAGATGATGCTGCATGCATATGTAGAATCAGAAACATGGAGGGTCAAGAACAAGCACTGAGCTCCTGATTGTGATATATGCACTGTTAGCTCCTCTCTAAATAAAGGGGACCCACCACCAGGGTTTTTCTGAGGCTTAAAAGAGTCAAGAAATACATGAAGCTCTTAGGGAAGCATCCAGCACCATCTGTGCT